ACAAAAGGATGCAACACGTTCAGTGAGAAATAAATACAAAAACACAATAATTATGTAATGTAGCATTTCTGGTTTTCAACAACTTCTCTTCAGCTCTGTGAAGTCTGAAAGCAAGCCAGGGACAAACAGAATGCGGAATACAATCAGGTAGTCAGGTTAGAGATTGTTTAAAAAATAGCTGAGGGAGTGTCACATATACTGTACATATTACTGGGCTACAATGAAACCAAAATAACTAGAAATGAAATCACTGCAGACACTCCCCAACAGGGTTCCCTCAGCTATGTAAAGACAGGATAAACATGAAATACTTGGTGTAATTAGATTTCTAGTAAATGTCTGCTGTCTCTGTTACGGTTAATGTTGAAATACAGCTGTCTTGAAGCCTACATTCACACTAGGATGCAGTGCAGGATTCCAGCGATCCATACACATCTCCCACAATGCATTCAAATCACACTGCCCTTGCGATCTGCAGTGGCTGTCAGTGCAATCTTAATGACACCCTAAACGCAGGTCGCAAAAACACAGTGGTCCTTCTTTGCCATGCAATCCAGTTGCAGTGCGGTTCCAAAATTGATGCATGCACAACTTTGGTTCAATTTGAGCCCAATAAAAATGAATGGGCTGGCTCAAATCACACCCGCATTGAATCGAAAGTGAATTGCACAGGAATGTGTTGTACTTCCTGTGCAGTTCATATGCGGTTCATAGTGTGAACCAAGGCAAAAGGATAAATATTAGTAGAAAGGAAAAAAATATTAAACTTTCTTGGAGAAAATGCCCCCTTCAGGCTCTCCCCCCTGCTGGTAACCACTGTATTCTGATAGCTGCACATGGCTATTGCATGAAATTTTCGTATTCAGTATATTAATTTTCTAATCACAGTACTTACATTTTCTTCACATATATATGAAGATAAAACTGTTCAGCAAAATTAACAGCAGCAGGGGATGAGACAAACTACAAGGCTACATTAGGGCCCTTTCATACACTCACAGATCCCCTGCTGATCAAAGCATAGTGGGCAGATGACAGATCCATATTTGTTCAGTTTATGCGGAGCACACAAGGACAGACTCCACTCTGCTCTATGGGCAGCCAGTTGTAAACTGACTTCGCTATCCGTTTATAACTGGCTACCTCCGATACAGTTCACCTAAATGGAAGAGGACTGCGTCTTTTAAGGGGCCTGGCAGGACCCAGGTTTTATTGTCAAAGCTTAAATCAACAAGCTGAGGTTAGAAGATGATTGGCTACCATGCACAGCTGCACCAGATTCTGAGTAATCGAGTTTTAGCCCTGGTTCACATATATGCGGCGTGCATTTGAATGGACTCCCGTGCCCTGTGACAGCAGAGAAGAAGTCCCTCTACTTCTTCCAAAAATGCAGCCCGCATGGGAACCTCGGTTTCCAGTACGGTTGCTTTTTCCAGTGCGTGCAGCGTGAAATTAGAACTAATGGCCCCCACCTGCGGGTCCACATTTCTCTGTGTGGGTGGTGAACCTAGCCTTAGTAACTCTACTCCATAGTAATGCATGGGCCATCCGATCAAGTACACCTGAAATCTAAAACACAGACATCAGATTGCTCGTGTGAAACGACCCCTAGGGGTGCATTAGACTTATAATCAGCACACAAACTAGCTGTGCAGTTTAAATTGGATCTATCACTGCAATAAAACATACTGGATTGTATCAGCAGTGGACCATAAGTGCAAAATACAGAAGCCATACTAATCAAACTTAGCATCATGCAGAAGCTTACAATAAACTAAAAGTTCATCAAAAGACCAAGTCCAAAAGAAGCAGGTCCCGCCAGTCGTACTGGGCACGCTGATTTCTGTATAGTTTTGCCAATATCCTGCTAAATTGGGGGGGGGTTGGGGATGGTTGCACAGAGAGAAGAGTTTGGGGGGTGGGAATGGTTATGTTTTACTGTGGTTGTATGTTGTATGTTTTTACCGTTGATAGTCCTGAATGACTGCATTTGGGGCCGGCTGTGGCATTTTTTGCACTTTGGTTGTTTGTTTTTGTATTTTTTGTACTTGCTTATAAAATGTACAATAAAATGAGTAAAAAAAATAAATAAGAAAATAGGATACTGAGAAAACTTGACAAGGGCTCAGTGTGATCACTGATTTCCTGGTCACACTACTCAGATTTAATATCCACTTACATATTCTATTATAAGCACACACACAAATCGGGTACTATTTGTAAATCCAATGACATGTGCATGTATCAAGCAGGACCCACATTCAATGTATAATAATGAGGATACTGCACAACTATTCAATCTGTGTCAAAGTTTATTAAATCAAATGGTAGGACATGAAAAGTAGTATGCACAACAAAAGAATGACTGTTTTGTTCCCAAATCTTGTTTCTTTTGTTGTGCAGTGTCTCTCCATTAGGTTTATAAACCTAGACACAGATTGAATGATTGGGCGCATCCCCTTTATTGTACATATACACAGTGCTCAGCATAAATGAGTACACCCCTTTTGAAAACTAAGATTTGAATCAATCTCTCAATGAACACAAGAACAATTTCAAAAATGCTTGAAAAAACTGAGTTTTATAGAACATTTGTTTAGTTCATTGTATGAAAGTATGGTTAGTAATATAACTTAGATGACAAAATCTTCAGTTTTTCTCAAATTAGTTGATGCAAAAATGAATACACCCCACAACAAAAAGTACTACATCTAGTATTTTGTATGACCTCTATGATTTGTAAGGACAGCACCAAATCTTCTGGGCATAGAATGAACAAGTTGGTGACATATTGCAACATCTATCTTTTTCCATTCTTCAAGACCGACCTCTTTTAGAGCCAGGATGCTGTGTGATGCTGAACTTATCTCTTCAAAATTCCCCATATGTGTTCAGTTGGGTTCAGATCAGGAGACATACCGTATTTTCCGGCGTATAAGACGACTTTTTACCCCTTGAAAATCTTCTCAAAAGTCGGGGGTCGTCTTATACGCCGGTAAAGGCATGCTGACACTTTTTAGGGGGTGCCGCCGCCGCCCCCCCCCCCCCTTCCAACAGAAGGGAAACTAAGTACAGGGGTGGGCAGGGGCTGCTGTCTCTTACCTGGCTCCGGTCCCACGACGATCCGGTCCAGGAAGCGCGGCTGCTCCTTCCTTCGGTTCGTCCACTGGATGTTCGCGCGGCTGCTCGGCTCCGCCTCCTCACCGGTGATTGGCCGCCAGAACTGTAGCTCAGGAAAGGCACACAGGCGGCCAATCACCGGCGAGGAGGCGGAGCTGAGCGGCTCCGCGAAAATTTAGTGGAGATGCAGGTAAGTGTGCCGTGCTTAGGTGCTGCTGCAACCACATATGCTGGCTGCAGCAGCACCGTACTGGAACAGGGGTCAGCAAGTGTCAGTGGGAGGAATAGTGCCCCATCGTTGGTGTCACTGATACCAATGATGGGGCATTATTCCTCCCACTGACACCAATGATGGGGCACTTTTCCTCCCCCCCACTGACACCAACGATGGGGCACTTTTCCTCCCCCCCCACTGACACCAATGATGGGGGCACTATTCCACCCCCCACTGACACCAATGATGGGGCACTATTCCACCCCCCACTGACACCAATGATGGGACACTATTCCTCCCCCCCCCACTGACACCAATGATGGGACACTATTCCTCCCCCCCCCACTGACACCAATGATGGGATACTATTCCTCCCACTGACACCAAAGATGGGGCACTATTCCACTGACACCAATGATGGGGTGCTATTCCCCCCAATGATACTAATGATGGGGCACTATTTCCTGCCACTGATACCAATGATGGGGCACTATTCCTCCCACTGACACCAATGATGGGACACTATTCCTCCCACTGATACCAATGATGGGACACTATTCCTTCCACTGACACCAATGATGGGGCACTATTCCTGCCACTGATACTAATGATGGGGTGCTATTCCTCCCACTGACACCAATGATGGGGCACTATTCCTGCCACTGATACTAATGATGGGGCACTATTCCTGCCACTGATACCAATGATGGGGCACTATTCCTCCCACTGACACTAATGATGGGGCACAATTCCTCCCACTGACACCAATGATGGGGCACTATTCCTCCCACTGATACCAATGATGGGGCACTATTCCTCCCACTAATACCAATGATGGGGCACTATTCCTCCCACTGACACCAATGATGGGACACGATTCTTCTTCCACTGGTGTGCACTGGAAGAGGAGTAGTCTTATACGGCGAGTATAGCCCAAACACTACATTTTAAACAGGAAAAGTAGGAGGTCGTCTTATACGCCCAGTCGTCTTATACGCCGGAAAATACGGTACTTGGCCACTGAATCATTTTCACTGTGTTCTTCTTCAGAAATGCAACAGTGGCCTTAGATGTGTGTTTTGGATCATTGTCATGTTGGAAAAGTGCACGACGATCAAGAGCCCCAATACAGCCCCAATACATCGACTGTGGTGTTGCCTCGAGGTTTGGAAGTATTGGGAGGGTGCAACCTTAACTCTCAATGGAGCCTTTGATGCAAACCTGGTAGCTGATGACCTGAAGATTACACATCACTTGCCATACTTGGATCCCTAATTTTGGCCCGCAAAATGATAGACTTAAAACGAGTCTCCTCAACACCTCCCTCGGCGGACAAGTGGATACATGAACTGAATAAAAGCATTGCTTTTAAGAGACGTACTTATTATCTTTGCAATGCCATGCAAAAATTTGTTAACATTTGGTCCCTTTGGTCTTCTGGCGCAATAAACTGCCCTGTTTTGATTGTCCTTTCTTTATCCATCAAGTTTGTGATATTTATGAAAACCTGCTGTCATATCTTATCAGTTATAGAGCTGTACCTTTACTTTCTTGTTAACGCTACCTGTATTTCTCTCTGGACATGCCATGAAAGACCGTTTCTAGGTTTTGTTTCTATGGAAAAAATATGTTTAAAACAAAAGAAAATATTTTCTGATTTACTTACAACAGTGTGATGGAACAGCAGCTCCCATGACTGGTGCAGCTTTTGGTTCTGCAGCATATCCACAAAATCATGGATAAAATAACCTGGAATAAAAATGCATGGGTTACTCAAAAAGTACTAAGGAAACAAGTAAGAATATAACTTAATGTTTTCCTTTGCACACTTTAGATATATTTAGAAAAAAATATGTTTACCATTACTTTCAGCATTTTGTTCAATTTTAAGTACAGAGCCAGTAAGGACGAAAGGAGGACATTTAGTCTGGGACTATTGGGAACACATAGACTAGAACTTTGTTTACTATAAACTGAACATTTGTTCTATCAATTCACTGCACTTAACATTGCTCATGCTGAATCATCAGTGACCATCACTGAAGGAAAACAGAAACTGAGAACTGTAACTGGGAAAGCTCACAAAGTGAATAGGGAGCAGCTCAACCAGTGTCTATGTACCCTGCACAAGTGAATCAGTCGGGAGCTAAAGCGAGAAATAAGCTAATGTTTAAAGAACTACAATTTGATCTGGTGTGGACTGTATTAAGATTACTGAAAGGTAAAGTAAATTACATTGATTATCATGCTACAAAAACATCTGAATGTGGATTTATTAGACAGCAACATGAATATGACATCCCTGACATTGATCCCTGACAAAGCAGAAAAAAAATGAGTAAGCATATGGATTTCAGTGACTTTTACAAGGGCCACAATTGTAATGGCTAAGCCTATGCTGACCTGTGTCCACAGCCAAAAGCACTTACAATTGGCACGTGAGCATCAGAGCTGGACAATGGAACAATGGAAGAAGAAGGTCTGGTCTGACACATCACGTTTTTTTTTTTTATATCACATTGATGATCGTGTATGTGTGTGTCACTTAGAGATGACACGGGATGCAGTATGGGAAGAAGGCAAGCCGATGGAAGCAATGTGTTGCTTTGAGCAATTTTCTGCTGGTAAATCTTGAATCCTGCTTGACATGTAGCACCTACTTAAACATTATTGCTGAGCAAGTACACCTCTTCATGGTAACAGTATGCACAGATGGCAGTGGCTGATTTTAGCAGGATAATGCGCCCTTCCACACTGCTAAAATGGTTTAAGAATGTTTTGAGGAGCACAACAATGAGTTTGAGGTGTTGAATATGGCTCCAAATTCTTCAGATCTCAATCCAATCGAACATCTGTGCGATGTGCTGAAAAAAAACAAGTCAGATTCATGGAGGCACCACCTTGCAACTTAAAGGACTCAATGAATCTGCTACTGATGGCTTAATGCCAGATACCATAGAACACCTTCAAAGGTCTAGAAACATCCATGCCTCAAAAGGTCAGGGCTGTTTTGGTGACAAAAGGGGGACCTACAAAATATTAAGCGAGTCATCATATAATGTTATGACTGATTGGAGTAAAGTAGAGCTAAACTTCCTCAATCATCATGAACTATTTTTAACCTTTATGAGACTAGCAGAAGAAAAATAAATAGGAAAGTATATTATATTTTCTTCTTTTTACCTCCTGTTTACCATATGGTGCATGACTTAAGAGCAGTGAAAAATATTCTTCATACCAACACCCCCATAGTGCCAAATTCACACATCCTCTTGTATATACACACACACACACACACACACTCACCTGCTCTGTGCAATGATATTGCACAGAAAGGTCCCTTACCTCCTCCTCTAGAAGTCTTCCATCAATGCTGTCAGCTTCTCCATCCTTTGGGTACCACCTTAGCTAAGGAGACACCCAAGAACTCCCTAGCAGGGCTGCATGTGTTCTTTGACACACACAGCACCCCCTTCTCCCTCCCCACAGGAATACTGATTATGAAATTTGCAAATCAGAAACATTTAAGTTTGCTGTGTTTTCTAACAGAATAATAATAGGGCCAGTAAAGGAAAACTGCAATACTGTCAGGAAAGGGTATTTTTTTTAGGCCACGGCATCCTACATGGAACCAGAGGAAAAAGAGTTAATATCTATACTGACAGTAAATATGCCTTTGGGGTCATTTATGACTTTGGTTCTTTCTGGAAAGCCAGAAACCTCAGCAGGTGGTAAGCCAATCAAGCATACTTGATAAAAAATTGATAAAAAGGCTGTTTTATGGTTTTAGAGGCTGTGTAGACCCGGGAACATACTACCACATCTGGTGGGATTGTCTGGTAGCCAAATCTTTTTCGACGGATGTCTTCACTATGATATCCAGACTTAGTACAAACATACTCCAACCCACCCCGACAACAGCTCTTCTCAACCTATGCCCTCCCAATGTAACGTCGTCACAATTCAAACTTATCATGCAAGTTACCACAGCAGCCAAACAGGTCATAGCGAAATCTTGGAAAGCCCCCGCCTTAAGCATTGCTGCTGTTAAAACCAGAGTAACACAAGCTATGATACACGCAAAAAGGTTGAAGCCACAATTCTTGATACAATTCCTAAGTTCTTGAATGTCTGGACTCCCTGGGTCGAGAAATTCCTTCCGCAAAACTTTGACGAATCCCTCCTTCTTCCTTGATCCAAATTAGATTAAATATTTTTTTTTTCTACACAATACTGGTACCACTTCTAACCGGTCTCACGTATTATGTGTATTCCTTCTCACTGGTCCTGGAGTCATTCCTGCCACCTCCCCCCCCCCCCCCACTCTTCCTTGGTCCCCTTCGGCCTCTCCCCAACTCCTTAAGTATCTCTGGAGAGTCTCTATCCCCAATGAACGAACTCTCTTTAGCACATCGTTACCTTTTCCTAAAATAATCTCTGTATGCCTAGAGTCACAAGCTTGTTTGCATTGCACTATGTGTTTGACGTTTTCTCTCCTTATTTGTTTAAAGACATGTCTGCTGTGTACATTTTTCTCTGTATTTCACAGCCTGTACAATGTCTAATGCCAATTGTCTATGCCTTTCCCCCATGTTTCAAAATGAATAAAATGTTTGAACAAGAAAAAGGCTGTTTTAGCCTTCCGGTGCCCTTCCCAAGTGGCCATACTAAAGGTCAAAGTAAATAAAAGCAAGACACCATGGAGACAAGAGGGAAAGCAAATGTTTATCAATCGGCAAGGGAAGCCACCTCAGAACCACTAGATGTGATGATGGCGATGGCTGCAGCAACTGGAGAGGAACAAGGCATCAGTATGGATTCTGATCTCATTGCAGGGGGCACGCCACACACCTGGAGCATCAGAAGTGGACAAAAAGAGGTGTAGCCCCAGATGGAGCAGGATGCTGGAATTACTATGCCTCCCATAAGTACAGTATCACATGATGGCTGCAGCAGCACACGGACCATGTCACCAGTCTAAAACAATCATGACCACTGTGTTAAATGAGCACTGGATAGCCCCAGGGTTTCCCTCTGTGGCTGCAAGCCACACTGCTCTTTGCCTTACCTGCGCTAAATTGAATCCATGTAGAACAGTGAGCACTCCCCAGAAGCACACCCCAAAACTAGAAAACCCCTTACAAAGGTTACAGATAGACTACATTGATTAACCTCAGTCAGGACCATAAGCACATGCTTCAGTGTGTATAGACAGGTTTTTGGGTTGACCAGAAGCTTAGCCAGTCTCTAAAGCAACAACAAAAACCACAGCAAAAATGTAGAGATAGCATGCAGATATGGGGTACCTGAGACTATCGATAGTTACAGGGGCACACAGTTCACAATGAGGTGCTGTGGAAAATAATGCAAGCCTTAAACGTTGAGCAAGACTGACACACACCCTATCAACTTGAAAGGAGAGGGAAGGTGAAAAGACTAGGGATCTTGAAAAAAAATGATTAGATAAGGTGCAAAAATTGTTAGTGTTGCCAGTAATGCAGTCAATTAGGAACACACCTAGGAAAAGCTCACACACCTAGGAGAGGACTCACATTTTAATGATGTGCTCTTTGGGTGCATTCCCAAAATAGGGGTGTACCTTCCACAACAACTGAAAAATGTACATTCAGATCTTACATGGTATGAAGCAAGCACTTCAGAAACAACCAACAAAATACATAACTGAGCATTTTCATCTTTGGCAGACAAGGATACAGTAAGTCATAAGGTGAAACCTGGAGACTGGGTGGTTAATAAAAAACTTCAGGAGGAGCCTGGAACTTAGGTACGTAGGACTTGTCCACTTTCAACCAATTTCTCTGACCTTTCTTAAAGTAGAAGGATGGGACATTTCAATACATGCCAGTCATTGCAAAAAAGGTGGTAAATTTATTTTTTTTTTTTACCAAGTGATGATGTAGCTGGCCTATTGAACATGATGAGGAGCCAGGAAAATAGTGTTCCACATAAATCCTATGCATTAGTAAAATTAAAGTACCAGATGGCTTGAAAAGTAGGGTATAATGAATGCTGGGTATGTTCTAAGTAACACTCTGAGACCATGACCATACCTACATATAATAGCAAGCCCCATCACATTAGAGGATTTGAATGGTACTAACCTTAATGTAACTTATAAGAAGATTACTGACCAATACAAAGACATGTCAATTGCTTTAAATGTGGCAGGATTAATCCAACTCCCAACAGTGCATTTGAAGTTTCACAGGAATAAAGTTAAATTAAGAAAACAGATTGCATACAAGCACTAAATAAGCATCAATGTGACTTGTCTACACTTTAAAAGTGCAAACTTAAGCCATTATCTCACGGAAAGGGTGCAGGATAATAATGCTCCAGGATTCTAAAGCAAGCCATAGATAATGCAATTTTCTTTTCTGCAAACATGGGTTGCAGGAAAGAAAATCACCTCGATTCACCAATTGACACAGTTAGTTTTGACGAGAGAATCCCTCCCACAGCACTACTGTGTTCAGCTAGAGGGGAGCCTCTGCTGGCACAACAAAATGATTACTGTTGACGGCTAAAATAAAACGAAATGTGGAAAGAATGTAGTGAGCGCAAAAAGAAAAAATTTTCACAAGCAGCTAGCAAAAAAGGACAACCCACTTCATTCACAAAAACATATAAAAAGAGAGAGTGTGCAGCGCTAATGTGAATACCATAAATAACACTAAATGATTATAACATAAAAAGTAGTGATGTGTGTGATCATATTCGGTGCGTAT